GATTTAATTTCCGTTACACCTGCAACACAAACGCGCACACGTATACACATACACACACACACACACAATTCCGACACGTGCACACACGCTGCAACGGACACCACAGCAAGTCATAACACAGGCATAAAAGTCAACGGCAGCAAGTGCTTGGGAATATAACTTTGCCCGCCAATATAGCTACTTAGATATGTGTGCGTGTGTGCGTGTGTATGTGTGTTGTGCTAGGTATTGTGGGTGTATGTCATGCATCAAACTTTAACATAAACTTGGTTGCCGCATCCGTATCCGCTGCCTCCGCCAACGATGTCGGCTCTCTAACATAGTCTGTTTCAACTTAATTTTCTTCTAAGAAGTTTTTTGCAAGTGTGCGTGTGATATGTTCTGTATGATTGTGTGCGTGTGTGTGCGTGTAGGTTCTGCTTGTAGCTACTTAAGCGACATGCCACTGTTACAGTCACTACTGCTGCTGCTGCTACTGCTACTGCTGCTGCTGTCGCTAGCATTTTGTTGTAATCTAGCGTAAAAAATGAATTATGTGCACATGCATTTCTTATATACTGCTGCGAAAAGAGTCTATGTTCCGCGCGGCAACCAGCCGCCCGCCCCCTCCAACACCCACCACACATCGCGCAACACATCCGGCGAGTCCGCCTCGCTGCCATTTAAGCCGTTGAGTAATGAGCAAATGAAATCCGGCTGCTTATCTTTGTGCATACAAGCAGCGCCTCTTTGCGGCCGCTTTGTGTGTCTCAGCAGCACATTAAGTCCTCGTCTTCCTTTCCCTCGACTTATAGCAGTATACACAACTTTTATTATGGCCCACTTCAATAGCTCTCTTTTCCCTCACTCTCTATCTCTCTCCCTCTCGCTTTCTTTCTATCTCTGTCCTTAGAATCGCAAAAAGTTCATTTCATAAGCATTTAAAGAAATATCACAGGTAAGCAGGTTTACCGCACGTATCTTCAGTTACTTATCAAATATATGCATAAAGATGTTTATAGATATTTTTACATAGAGCTCGAAAATGGCACCTACCATAAAACTCAGACCATTACACGACTGCGATTTACTCTGTTTCAATTTTAATAATGCTCTAGCGTATCCACAAAATGGATTATATTTGTTATCTGTGCATACTATATAAGAGAACCTACCAATTTTGCTTTATCTTATTTTTATAAGTTATGCTTAAAAAACTGTGGATTCGATATTGGCAGTAACGACTATCGGTGTTATCGAATGGGCCAATTAAAGTTTTGCAATGCTAATCAGCTTAATTAATGAAATTTCTCTGTCTTTCAGTTATGTCAGAGAGATAGAGCTATTCTAATATTCTTAATAAGGGTGTGAAAACAACAATAGTATCCATTACTGGCCATTTAATTACCTTCATTTAGATAGATTAAAGCAAATGCCCAAATTGACAGCAAGTCACAGCAGTTGCAACAAATGAAGGTCTACTAAAATAATGTATAAAAACTTCATATTATTTAATAGACGTGCTTATTGCTTAATCATTCATATTGGCATTCCATTTGTGAGCCGATTAGTACAACTACAAGCCAAAAGTCAGCTTACCGCCCTCTTAGCCTGCTCCTGATGCAGCCCTTTTAGCGAGCTGGCCAGCACACTAAATATTCAATTAACTTTTCAATTCATCATTGCTGCGCACATTAAAGTACTTAAAAGCATTTCACACGTATGCACATATGCGTACACAACAGAATTGTTGTCTGCAGAGCACCCTAAAAGCCAAATGTTTTATGATTTTCCAACGCCATTTTTATATACATTTTCAGTGGACATCAGCGACAGAACCCGACCAATCCGAGCGATAAAACTGGCAGCGCAACACTCGCATTTGCCGCAGTCAAGTTTTGACAAGAAAAACTGCAAACTCGAAATCAATAAATCATATGATGGCATCCAAAGAACTCAACTAAGCTGAACTGAAACTACATTGAAACTGCGAACCCATTGGCGTGGCACCCGCTGGCACGGCAGGCTGTGTACCACATATAGTTTCAATATTTGAATTCAATTTAATGGCAGCTAATTGAAAAAATAGTGAACTGAGCCCAAATTGCGGCAACAATACATCAGAGTTTTGAACAAAGGGATCACATTTGAATACCGATGGAAAAAAAGGCACAGAAGTTGGCATGTACGGCCCTAGTAGGTATACTGTAATAATAAAAATAATAATAATGATAATAATAATAATAATAATGATAATAATAATAATAATATTAATAATAATAATAATAATAATAATAATAATAATAATAATAATAATAATAATAATAATTATAATAATAATAAAATAATAATGATAATAATAATAATAATAATAATAATAATAATAATAATAATAATAATAATAACAATAATATAAATTATTAATATTAATGGGAAATTAACTTATGCCACTTCGGCCCACTCATCCAATCCCAGTTTAAGTTTAAATTTGAAATAAATTAAAAAATATGTAACACGGTTCAAATATTCAACCATTTGACCAAACTAAGTACTGTACCAAACTAGATTTAGTTAAGTTATATAGAAAAAATCTCTTGCTTCTTTCAAGGCAATTCAGCCACATTTCTGAAATTCTATAAATATAGAAATATTATACTTGGGGTAGAAGGCAGCAGCTGGGTAAAGAGTTTTTCTAACCAGTTCAGATCAAAACTCATTACCAAGAGTACCGATTCCCTTTGTCTGGGGGGTCGATTAATTGATTTTCATTTAGAGTTACATTCTCCATCTGTTCTATCTAAATAAAAGTAAAGGGTATTACTGAGTCAAGTGCTTTCGACTGAAACATTTTGAGTTTTTTTTCGTTTGTTTTTTTGTCCAAAGTGCTAACAATTTTTTGTGTACTGGTCAATGGACATGGCTGACTAGGTCATGTGAGCCATATGCATATCCATGGGAGTTTAGGTGTATATATGTGTGTGAGAGAGAGTGTCTGTGTGTGTGAGTGTCATCTGTGTGTGTCTATCCCGGGTGTTGAGTTATTTGCACGTTTTGATAAGTGGATTTAACAATCAACAGCGAGCGCAAAGTGCAAAAAGATAAAATGAATTGATTTTTTCCGTACAGAGGTTGATCAAAGAGTCAGTGCATTTTTCTTTTTGCCAATCCAAAATATCAAAAAGATTCAAATTACGATGTTCTATTCCATTATATCAATGGATATTACTTCAATTTTTTTTTTATCTTATTCTATTCATCATTCTTGCAAGTTTATAAATTATTCATTAATATGAAATACATTCACAGAATATGCATGAATTCAAATTTAAGAAAACACATATTTCTTTTATTAAATCAGAGCAAATGTGATAAAGACTCAATTTATAGACTACAAAACTATTATTTTTGCTAGATACTTTAAATTTCATGAAATTTATTCAATCTACTGTGATATTTTGAATAAAATTTTCTCAAAAGCTATGTTATTATTCATTTCAGACATTAAGCTATAAATTTAAGTTTATCATACTAGAAAGAAACAAAAGTTCTCTCTCGTTTAGAATGGGTTCGATGTCATTGATAATGTCATTGAAATGTGCTGCTGAGCATATTAATTAATAAATATAACTTTTAAATTGGACATCTTTTTGTGTAATATAAAACTTAATTAAAAGGTATTTTTAATAAGATTAGCATAGTATATTTTCCTTTCTTTTTTAACCGGATCTCGAACAGAATCTGTTTCCCAAAAACAAAGGCAAGGCTTTTACATCACATATTTAGATATAGGATATATGATATAGAATCAAGTGTTGTTTAACAGTTTATGCAATTGTAGACTAACTGGCTTGGTAAAGAATCAGTTTGACCCGGTAAACATTATCTGCTTTACAAGTATATTATAAAATATGGTCCACGGTATTGCAAACAAATTGGCGCACAAACAAAGCAGCTAACAGATATTGAAAAATCTCGTTGTTGTTGGCATTTGCAAAATCACACAAGACGTGACCAGAAATTAAATGTTTGTAGCACAGATGACGCTTTATAAAAATTTCATAAAAATGAAAAATAAATCCCCTAAAAGACCCAAGCCAAAATGAATGCGCACAGCAAAAAAAATATAGCATACTGCTCCTATTACATAATACATATAGTATATGCATAGGTTGAGTTGGGTAGTACTTACTAGTAGTAGCTGAATAAAGCGATGCATATACATCACATATATAACATATTTTAATATGCTTTATAAGCGGCCGGTGAACTGAAGCGCAAGTTGTGCGAATGCCAGTTGCAGGTGATTCATAAATTCGTCAAAAAATCCGCACTGCGAGTTGTTGGCTTTATTGTTAGACCCCCTGGCTGGCAAAAGTGAGAAGCTCTGCCAATAACACGGCCATATCCCAGTCGTTTGGCCATTCCGCAATCACCAACAAGCCAAAGTAGGGAATGGCTACACTGTGGCACAGCTCGCAATGTCGCTGTCGTTTTGTAGCATTTCGCACACTTCAGTGCATAAATAGCTAATATTGCTGAGTGCGTAGTCAACACACCCACACACAGGCACACACGCACAGCTAGTGTATAGAAAGTGCATTACATGCAATCAAACAGTCTTGCTGAAAAATTTCTACCCCTCCACAGTCTGTGTTCCAAGCTGAAGAAACATATAGAAATAACAACAACAACAAATAAAATATAACTGAAAAACCCATAAAGCACAACTTTTGCCCAGCCAAAAGCGTTAAATTTAGTACTTGGCAACCGGCGAATACTTCCTACACAGAATGTTGAGCAAACATGCCCGCAAACTAAAAAACATTTATATTTTTGTATTTTTATTTGTTTTTAAGAGTTTTTATTTGTATTTTTTTCGGGATGCCAGCTAATGCACAAGGATGGAACATGCGTTTGCATAATGAAGACCTGGTGCCATGAACGCGCCTTGATCCTTTAAAAGCATACGTTTTGTGTAGGGGATTTCGAGCATTTAATATACATGCATTTGCTGGGCATTTCTATTTAACATACATGGTACGCAGCAGCGCAAAAAACTTGTACGATAATTGCAGCAGCTGAAAAACACAATGACAAATCCCAAGAAAAATAGTTGATGGATAATAAAAATTAATAGTTAATAGATAATACATAATTTTACAGCCATAACAAAGTCAAAAACTTAAAACAAAACATGTAAGACATTTAACGAGCAAGGACGGCTAAATATGTTCATAGGATACTGTTTTTATGTAAAAAAAAAAACATGGTTAAACTCCCATATGCCAAGGTTAGTTCATATATATCTTCGTAAACAAACAAGTTTTTCACAAAAGAACTTAATTGTCGACCGATTGTTCCTATGGCAGCTATTTGATTTATTGATCCAATCCGGCAAGCTCCGAAATATATGATGCCTGCAACTGAAAGTTATACAAACAGACTGACAGACAGAAGGACAGATGGAAATGACTATAATTAAGCATATAAGTACATTATGGGCTCAAAAATGTCTTCATCTATACGTTCCAAATTTCGTGATAAAATTATAAAACCCTCTACAATCATATAAAAAAGGGCAAGAACGGTTTTGGTGTCGAGTGTTTTCTTAAGTAGTGGCTTGGTGACTCCTAGACTGTAACTGCAATAACGAAATATCAATTTGTAGAAGCGAAGGTGAAGGTAGCCGATCTTTAGCGGAGATCATCTATAGTTTGGCTGCCCAATTTGGTGACTTTGAATTTTGAGGAAATTCGCGAAAATATATAAAGCTGTCTTTAAAATAAAAATGTTTTTACTGAGCAAAATATACTCCACTTCACTCTGTAAGCAGAGTAAAAAATTCTTCCACAACATAGATATACGCTTACATCTGTCATGGTGCCTCTGTTGATCTGCAGGAAAACAGTTGCCTTGAGATAAGTAGGCTTCTGGGAGCGCATTATAATAAACGCGAGGGCTTTACGATAGCGAGCATCCGCATAGCTCCAGTTCTGTTTGTAGGACGCCAAAGAAATGCCCGAGCTCTGCATAGAAAAAGAAGTAAAATATTAAAAAACTATTTAAACATGGACTTTTTAAAAGCAAACGCACCGCATCGGCTATCAGTTGTCCATGATAGCAAATCAAATAGACCTGAGTCAGCGCAGATATTAGATATAAACTATGCTTAATCATCATAACCGGCTCCACACCCACGCTCATTTGAAAGCTGACAAAGCAGAGGACAAACGAGGAGATCAGCAGGTTTAATATCAGAGGCACACCAAAAACTTTATTGAGCTGTTCGGAGAGTTTCAGTAGGCGTTCATGATAGCGCACAATATCGGCCAGGAAGCGCGAGTCCTCCGACCAATTGCCGCTCAGCTGCTGCTGCTCAATCCTTCTCGATAGGTAGTCAAAGTGCATAATGATCTGGGTGGCCAAGGCGCAGAGCAACAAATCTGTGGATACCTGACCCGCCGCCGAAGTGTAGCCTGCAAAGTTTTCGCAGAAAAGCAGCAGATAATAGGTCCAATTGTCTGTCGACTGCCATGGTATGTACATTCGATAGGGCAGCGTCTCCTCCACAATGCGCGTCTGCAACCACAGCTCGTAAATGAAATACTGCATGAGGTTAAACAAATTGTAAGTCCAAATGAGCACGGAGTAAAGCATTGAGAAGGTAAAGCTGATGCGCGAACAGGAACGTAAATAATTATCCAATCGGTAAGCAGACTGAGCTGCCTTGTCGCCTGGAAACAGCTCCTCCAGCTCCCACACGATGCTACTGAGCGCAGGTTTCTCTAGCCACACAAACGTCATTTTGCTCATGCCCACCAGGACGAAGCCAATGTAAGACATAACCATGATTGCTTCCACGATGTGCTCACCGGTGGCGAAGGCAATCACCACATAGGCCAACTCGCCGAGCCCCACCAGGCCTAGGTTTATGATGTTGGCCCAAAAGACAAGGCTAATCCAAATGCTGCCAACATGTGGATGCGATCTTTTCGTATAGGGCTCAATGCCAACGGCCTTATAGAAGAAGTTGGCATACTTCAAGAAGCTATCCATTTTGGCCAGCGGCATGGTCAAGAGCTGTCCCTTTACTTTCACTTGAACAATAAATGAAATGCGTGCTGTTACGAACGCACTTTTATAGCCATGATATGTGCTCAGATTTATTATGCATTTAAATTATAGTCTACCGTTTAAGAGTTAACTGTTGACAGTTTGCGGCGCGTGGGAGAAATCGGTTATAGCCGCCCATATGCCAAATTATAAGCTACGATACGCAGACATCGGATATAATTATTATTTACATTCGGTTGGAGTCCATTTTGTATTAGAAATTCTTGGCGGGTCTCTGCCACGCCCAGCAGCGGCTGCATAATAGATCACTTCAAGATAAAATCGACATCAACATCGACACCCTCACACACTCACACACACACACACACACAAGTACACTGGGAAAACATAATATACGGAAGGAGCGGAAAAACGGAAAGCGGAAAAGCAATGCCAAACGATGGAAGCCAAACAAAACAGCAATCGAGCAATTGAAACGTTTAAATAAATGCAATGGAAAACGAATCAGCGCATCAAACCAAAACGAAGTCATTTTTCACCAATCGATAGATGGATTCAAAATGGGTAAGCGGGAAACGAATCGAAATTGGATTGCAAAATGGCTACCCCCAAGTCGCCACGAACTGAAGCGCACTTCAAATAAATTAAATCTTCAAGTTTCTCGACAAGCCAGCGTACCAAATTGCTCGCATAAAACACGCTAGCCCAATTACAAGTATGCATTGTGCACTGTGAAAAAAATATTGGTAGATTTTTTAAACTTTTAATTTGTAGTATGTAGATTTGTATATGTATGCATGTGTGCATTAGCATGCAGACCAAGCTTACTGGCTAATAAATAAAACATGTTTTATAAATTGCCCTACTCTGCGATTCTCAAGAGTTGAAGGCTTTTATATTAACATGTTGTATTGACAATTTAATAAACGTTATCTCTGTTCGAACTCTAATTCTTATTTACTCTTGACCCTCCCTCTCTTTTCAGTTAATTCATATGTAAGAATTATCATATTTCCAAAAAAAAAATTTTGCAAATTCAAAATAAAACTGATTATATCTTACCTTTTCAACATCAATGTTCCAGATGTAATTGCTTGTAATTGCTTGTGTAGTTTGTTACCTTTAAATAACTCTTTAAAAAAATAATAAAATAAATAGGTATTTAAATATAAATTAATCTTAATAGATCAAATGATATTAATACAATTTCGATTTAGAAATTAGAGCTTTCACAAATAAATACTATCCAAAACTTATAATTCAAATAAAATAAAATAAAATAAAATATTTTCACATAGAATTTTAGATGTTTTGTATTCAAGTACAATAAATATTTTAATTTTGTATACATCCCATGTGATTTACCTTAAATGTTATCTTAAATACATCTGTAAAATAAATACATATATAAAATATTCGATTATTTTTTATAGTGTACCTTCAACCACAAGGCTCTGCTATTCAGTGGACTCCACGCTTGTTCGTTAATATGGTAAAGCCGGTTGATGATAGACCTCAATGGAACGGTGTGCTACGAAAGGAAAGGCAAAACAAAGAGCTTTCACGCAGTGCATGGACACAAAAGCACGGCCAGCGCCAAGGGTCAGTTGGGATTCGGGCCAAAATGAAAGACACAACCGGTGCGCGGAAATAAAGAGAAGGCGTGGTTGTGCAAGCATAGGAAAGCCGCGCGACTGTGCGAGCAAAGGAAAGCCGCACTCCTAATCGAAGCATAGAGCTGCAAGAATGCGCCGCGTTTATCACGCATGAAAATGCAATGTATGTACGCATTTCACGGAGATTTTCACATTTTTTTTCTGGTTGTTTTTGCGAGAGCTTGAAACTGAAAATACAATTAAACCATTGGGACGAAAGTTTCTCAAGTGATGCTCCCCGCAGCAGGAAATTGTTTTGTTGCACAAATCAGTGCGAAGAAGGCAAGTTACGAGCATTGGGGGCACACACACGGCACGACGAAGGAAGGCGACGGCAAACTTTGCCGAAACTTTTATGAGCAGCAAACTAATTTTGTATGAGTGCAGCCCATGTTTTGCTTTGGATATTGCACCGGCGACTACGCTGCCCCATGGTGGGAATTGATTTGGGATTTTCCGGCAAAGCATGTTCCAAACATTTGCATACAAAAAGAAAACTAGCCTCAAAAGCAGAGCAAAGTTCAAAGCGTTGCATTTTGGCCACTATTCATCTCGTTCTTTAAGCCCTCGTCAAATGAATTCGTAATGTGTAGCAACGGCTGCTATTCAATTTACAATCCTATTGCACTTCATTAGGGTAATTTGAGTAAGACAGTGCCCAACAGCTGTCAATGGACAAGTGGCTCCACTTGGCCTATGATTCAATTTCAATTGCAACCACACAGAACTCAGAGTTCTCGTAACATTTTAGACATATTTAGCCGTCAATTCGTTAGTCCTACAATAAAAGAAAAAACAATTGGGACTACTGGTCCAGTCGAGGGTGATACCCTATACTCAGTCACACACCATAAAATAATCTATCTTAGATTAACTTTATCTTGGCTCCTGATTAGGAACATTAATGGATAAGGGGCTCAGTTGTGCTTAAATATGATACCCTTGTTATTCAACTTTATAGGGTACAGGGTATTAAAAGAACGTAAGCAAGCCTGCCTAGGTTAAGTGGGTGGTACTAGGTGCGTGAATATGTGAACATGTTTTAAATTAAATGTATTTGTTCTACGATTTGCGCAATCGATTAATCGAAAGTAAGAAAGTTATCGATAATTTAAAATAATAGAGCGTTCTATAGCTTTTATACTGGTCTATTCGATTGACGCGTTTATACAAACGGACAGACGATTGCTGTGTCAACTGTGGATGCTAATCAAGAATTTATATACTCTTATGTACTATGTTTATTAAACTCTTTTTACACCCATTTTTAATGGTGGTTCAGGGAAAAACATACTCCCACGTACACACACACACGCACAACTAGCACATAATCCATTGTTAATTTTACATTTGGTAACAGCTTCCGCTTGACAAGGCAAATCCTACAGACCCAATGTCGAGTCAGAGCCAGTTTTTGGCCATGCCAAAAAGTAGTTGTAATGCAATTGCTCCCTGAGTGTCTGTTTGTGTGTGTGTGTATCTGGAGGTGTCAGTATGTGTGCGAGTATGTGACATTTGACACATTTGCTGCGGAAATGTGGACACCATGTACAGACAGGCTGTGGGTGTGTGTGTGATTGTGCCTGTGGGTGCTGCTGTGTGTGTGTGTGTGTGTGTGTGTGTGTGTGTGTGTGTGTGTGTTGAAGCTGGTTTTTAGCAGCAGCCGCAAATTTCTATTTGATGTGAAGTCTCTGCGGTCTTGGCCACAATTTTGGTTATGGCATAAATACCGAACAGTCCCTGAGCCGCTCTATACACTGTTTTTGTGTGTTGACTTTTGGCCCTCGTATGCAAGCGATTCACATCCTTACCCTCACCCCTCCGCACAGCCGGGCCACATTAAAGTGCTTGGCTATTGATGACTTCGGCCTTTTGTTTTGGCAGCCAACATTTTGGTTAGCCAATTATTTGCTTGTTACTGATCGCTGGGACGAATAGGCACAGAAAAAAAAAACCGAGAATAAATGCAGCAATTAATAAAATAACAACTTTTGTGTATAATTAATTGTGTATTATGGGCAAGCTTGTTAATGGCAGGATATGCATCAATGTAGAATGTCGACGCACACATATTGCGCTTATCGGTCCAAACTGCTGGCTCCAGCTGAAGCCTACAGTAAAATATTACAAGGAGGATAATGTCGCCTGCTGTGTCGTCCATTGTTGCACCGGATGCCATTCCCTTTGCTCTTGTTGTTGTTTTGTCCATGCGCACCAATGGGCAAATGAACAATTTATAACCGCTTAATTGAACACATTTAGAAGGAAGCAGAAACCAACACACACACAGAGAGAGAGAGAGAGACACACCCACAAATACGCACTTGGGCCAAGCCCGCAGCTAAAACAACAGGCAAAGCTCCAGACGACGACGTCAGGATAGATGAGACGACTTAGCCTAGTCAAAAGATATGTCCGTAAAATCAATGACAATCCGGCCACATGAGCAATTGCTGCTGCAGCATATGTTGGACAGAGCAACTGCAGCTGGCAGAGGGTTTAACAAGGCAAACAATTTAATAAGCGCTCGTTATGTTGTTAGAACATTCGTTTGGAACTATATACAGTAAAAGCTTTACTAACGAACGGCTTTTTTCACAAACAAATCCTTTGGCTGACCAATTTTTAAGGTCTCAATCTTTCTCAATCCAGGAAAAAGTGTCATTCATGTGTAATTGACGCAAATTGACGCCTCCGATACCATCGAGTGTACTATATGTATTCTTGATCAGTCCATCTGTCTGATTTTATTAGTCTCTCAATTTTAAGCTTAGCGTCATGAAACTCTGCATCTGATCGGACCACTATATTATGATATATATGTAGCTAGATAAAATTGAAATAATTGTAAGAAAAGCTTTATTTTTTTTTTTTCAAGTTCAAAATCAATATCGGCCAAATTTTAATAACATCGTACTACTCAAAATGGAATCAAGTCAGAATACTTTATTATATGACTCCTACCGGGAAGTATAACTCTTGTATATAAAAATGTACTTTCGGTGTGTCAAATATACCCTTTCTTTGTTTATTTTATTTGTTATTTTTGTTTTTTCACAAATAGTTTTTTGTTTACAAAAAAATGATCTCTGAAAACAAATAAAATATTGTACGAAAATTTTAATTATCAAAAACTGATAAATAAATAACAAAAATTTTATATAACCATTTTTTTTTTGTGAGAACAAAAATATACATATTTAATGCATTTATTTTCATTTATTTTCTAAATAAAACTGTAAGAATTTAATCGTTTGCCAATTGAGCCTGCGCAAGCTGCAGGTAATGTCAATGCTGAAAGTATCTTTGGCCTCTGGCATTGGCACTGCTGCCACCACAACCCCAATCCCCATCACACGGCAAGCTCCTACGCTATTAACTTGAAGTGCGTATTTAGCGGAAAGTGGCATGTCAAACGCAAAGATTTATTCACACAGCCAAGGAGCACCTCGAGTAAATTAGGTAAGTAGCTGCCACCCAATGACGGTATGCATGAAATGAATGCCCCAATGGATGTCAGGAGTTTGAATGAGGGGCTGTTGTCCATGGCAACTGACTGCCTAAGCCCTAAAGGCGGAAATCGCACAATGGCAACCGCAATTTTCCTAAGCAGCTAACCCAAAACAACAAAAGCAAACGCTATGCAGCAGCGAGAGCATCTACTCCTTCATATTCCCTGAATGGCAACTACTTAGGAACGTAAGTTTTGCGAAATAAGCCTGGCCACAGGTGAGGGCAACAACCACCTTTTAACCATAACCCTTCACCTGAAGGAAATATTTTGTTATTCCCTTCACAATGTCGAGTACGTCGACTCAACTCCGTGCAATTCTGGGCAGGACACCTTAGAGAAGCGCACGCAACACGCCCACAAACAATTGTCTTCACAACTTCTGGATCAAATTATACTACTCATACATACATATGTGTGAATGTATGTATTTATATAAAATGCACAAATTCCAGCTTACCAAGGGCTCCTCTGTTGTGCACTGTGCCTTCAAGGCAATAGGAAGTAGAAACTCAGTCAGAAGCCAAACAGCTATAATTATGACAACGCAAATTTAAGATTGATAATAATATTATGCTAACAGCGCCAATTGTACGACAGTACGAAGCTAACAGCTACAACACTCGTGTACGATATTACTAACTATCGTAACAAATGCCGGCAACATATCGATATTTAAATTAGAAAGCGGTTAACATATTTAGAAGGTCTTGACACGTCGCAGACACGCTTGCCGGGTATTAGGCATTTTAAAACTAAATAAATTTCAGTTTAAGTGCGGCTTTAACATACAAGCTGTTAAAATATTTCTTCTAAATATATACCAATAGATGGCCATAAGTCCATAAGTCTGGTCATGTTACTCGATATTTTTACTTTTTGCCAAACTGCATTACTTTTGGTACAGCAGATTAAGTTAAAAAAGCCACAATTCAATTGAGGCTGCGGTTTGAAATAAACTCTAACGCCATAAAACTTAACTTAAGCAAAGTTCAACGGTTGAAATTTTCCAAACACGTTGGCGGCTTAAACACAAAAAGAGACTACGGTCACACTGCAGACAGCTGTTTTAATTGTTTTGTTTACATTTTAATGGAACGCAGTAGCTGTTTCAGCACAAATCAGTGCATTTGACACACAGTAAATTATCAATTATTTCCGCTTTGAGTCCAAAGTCATTAAAGTGTTCTAGCTAGAATAATTTACTATTAAAACGACAGTTGCGATTAAGCAACAACTGGTTATTAAAATAGACATTAAGCGTAAGTACATCACACAGATAAGTTCGAGAAGAGCATTAAAAAAGTGGAAAGCTAGAGTACAATGACTTTTTATCAGCTGTGTACTATGTACTTGACCCGCAACCAGATAGGCCAATAATTTACACTGCCAAAAATAAATGCTTTCAAGAAATTGATTGATACATGTGTGGACTATATATAGCTTTTGTTAGCTGTGGCCTCGATACAATCAAAATAAAGTGTGCAAATCGCGAAAGCCCCTTATCGATGCTCATTAGATAAGATTAAAGGCCAACTTGCGGACTTATGGCCTTGGCCCTGTCTCCATTAAGCTGTACGTAACTAATGCATTTTTGTTAATTCGTTCACAGTCGTATACAACTCATAATGGGCGTTCAAAGCAAGCTGCTTGATCCGCTGTGCGTTACCTGCCAGGAGTTTCAGCATCCCTGGACGGATAAGTGCGTAAATGCCACGGCGGGCATATTGCTTTCAGCCACGCCCTATTGTTTGCGTGTCTACACAATTGTCTACGCCTTTTCATTGCTGATGCGTCAACGTATACCAACGCTGGAGGACTTAAAACGCACCCTGCTAGGCATCATGCAGTCCACAGCCTTTCTGGTGACCAATGCATACACCTTTATCCTTTATAATTGCTTGCTGCGCAATCTACTGGGTCGCTATTACTTTGGCACTGTTGCCTTTTTGCCCTCGTTTCTGTCTTCGCTCACAGCCATTATGGTAGAGCGCCCGGCGCGCCGTCCGCTGCTAACACTCTATGTTGCCAATGTTGCCACCGAAGCACTCTGGAAAATGGCAGAATCTCGGAACTGGGTGCGTTCGATGGCCCACGGCCAAACATTTATCTTTGCCTGCAGTATGTCGGTACTTTTGTATTTGTACCGCATAAGCGCAAGCGACGACTCCATCTTCAATATACTACGCATCTTTGTGGGTAAAGAGGAGGCCGGTCCAGTGGTGAAGTCCGAGCCCCTTGTACCCGGCGAGCAGCCGGCACCCTCACGCCGACGACCCAGCGTCAGTTTCGCCACGGCCTCCGATTGGGTGCGTGTCTACACCAACCTAATCCGCGCCAAGCATGAGACCTGCCGCCATACCCAGAGCTGCTCCAGCTACGCTATATTGGGTGGCTTGCGTCCCTTTGCGGGCGGTGTGGCGCTGCAATTAGCATTAAAGCTGGTGATGAATATGAAAACAATATTCCAAGGTTGTATGCCGTGGCGCAAGCAAATCTTCAACAGGGGTACTTTACAACTGGGTGTCTTCATGGGCAGCTTCTCCTTCCTTTACAAGGTGCGTGAGGTTAAAATATATATTACCTTGATTCTCATAAATAATTGATGCTCATTTTCAGTCCATGTCCTGCCTACTGCGCCACAGCTTCAATCAGGATCACGCTGTGTTTTCAGTACCTGCAGGCCTGGTGGCTTCATTGGCCTTTACCCAATATCCAGACAATACAGTCGCCTTGTACGTCATGTGGAAGGCAATACAAGTGAGTTTTTGGTCTTACTCTGAAAAAGCTTGCACTCAATTATTCGGTTTATCTCTGCAGATACTCGCAACCATGGGTCAAGAGCGGGGCATTCTTCCACGCATTCCAAACTTTATGCTTTATACTTATGCATTCTTCACAGCTGTGCTCTTCCATGCGGGCATTATTGAGGCGCAGTCGCTGCGACCTAACTACTACAAATTTTTGCAGGCCATATCGGGCGAGAGGTAAGCTCTGACTTTTAAAAAATGAAATATAAAAGCCTAATGCCCGTTTTTAACCTTTTTTATCAGGCTAAACAAATTCAATTTGAGCGCCTTTGATGTTTTTGGCTTAAATACTCAGCAGCAGACGAACGATATGCTGAAAAGCTTGAAAATCGTTGACAAAACGACGCTGCCTGCCTTCGCGTTTGCCTCCTGAGCTAACCCACGGTTAATGTAGAACTAAATCGAACTACAGAAAGTGTTACCACAATAAGTCTCAGCACTTCAAGTGCGCATATTTAGTGAAATACGCGTCTCTCAATTACCATAATATTCATAGTTTGTATGTATATATATATATATATGTAAGTATCTAAGAAGCCTAATTGTACTATACGCCGCTCTCGTGGGCGTGTTTATATCCATCGCGCGTGCAGGTTAAACAAACTAGTTAGTATTGGGTATATCGACAAATTAATTGAGTGTTTTTATTTTTGTTATAGAAGTTTAATAAAAGGCAATTTGAATTTAACTCTTATTTCTGTATTAAGGTTCGCCGCTAAGAGTTCAAATAATTTATAAAAAGAGCACACGCTGGGCGTGCCCAACTAGGAGATACCCTGAATCTGCCGCTACAAGCATTACAAAGTGGCTGCGTTTGCTATCGTTTGCCCCACACCATGGGAAATGCGTTCTTCAATAACTTCGGCGCTTATAGTCCGATCATTTGACATTTTCAAGGCCTAAATATTGCATACAAAAGTGACACATGGTAAAGTGATAAAAAGTGAAATATTTGATATCTATGAAGGAATATTCATATATTACAATTTCAAATTACACAGCTTTTGTAATTTCTGATGAACTCACACAGACGGGCACGGGCTCTGCTCGTCACCTTGATAAAAAATATATTGCTAGGAAATGTCGTCTTCTGCCGGTCACATACCCTTGCACAAAACCATTATACCCTCTTTAACGATTTTCAATGGGTTAAGGCCACAGTCAAAATGCCGAATGTTAGGGGTGATAAGAACTGTACTCTTTACCTGCAACCATTTGTTTAACACTGTGTGATAAGCTACGAATGGAATTCTCCGAAATAAATACATAGTGCTCAATAATTGTGCCGCTGCTCAGCCAGTCGATAGTGGAGCGCGCAGCTGTCTGGGCGACTCTAGATATAAAACCTGTTCGGTGGCAAAGGTCAAGCTGAAACGAAAGTGTGAATTGTGTTCAAAGAAACCAACTACGATTGCATATTCAAAAAAAAAAAAAAAAACCGCTTTTAGCAAGAAAATAAGTTGTCATTTGAGTGCAAATTTACTCTTCTGACGCGGGGGCATTTGTGCGTGCACGCGTTCCATTGTTAATCTAATCATTGGCAGTGGCCAGTGCGATAATCTTGTTAAGCCTTAATCGGAACACCTGCTACGTGAGCCCAACATTCAGATATATAAAATGACCGGGCAGAGCAAACTTGTGGACGCAGCCATCAAATGCAGCTGCCATGAGTATGTGCATCCATGGACAGCGAGCTGTTTCTGCGGTGCATGCGGACTCTTTTTGGCCAGCATACCCGCCTCCATGCGTACCTATAGCATTGTTTATCTGGCAAGTAGGAGTCGGTTGATGTATAAGTCCTTTCTTTTAACATGTTTACCATTTACAGCTTGCGCTGGTCATGAAAATGCGCATTCCCAGGCTGTTGGACCTCAAGCACACGATTATTGGCATTTTCAAATCGACAGCCTTTCTCTCGACGAATGCCTATCTTTTCTCGCTGTGTGTGTGTCTCCTGCGTCGCCTATTGGGCGGCTTCTACTTTAGCTCAGTTGCCTTTTTCCCCACCTTCATTGCCAGCTATGCGGCGCTTTGCATTGAGCGTCCGGCGAGACGTACGCCGCTGGCCTTGTATGTGGCAAATGAGGCAACCGAGGCACTTTGGAATATGCTGGAATCACGCGGCCTAGTGCGCTCCATTCCGAATGGACAAGTCTTGATACTGGGCTGTAGCTTGACAGCTCTGCTGTTTATGTACCGCCTGGGCGTGCACAAGGGCACCATCAAGGATGTCACCTTTAAGGCGCTGACAGTTCTCATGGGCAAGGGGGAAGAGGGTCCAGTTAAAACGCCCGCAGTGACCACCACGCAAAGCCCGTGCCGGCAGCCGCTCAACTTTCGCAGAGTCTCTGCCTATGTGCAGCTCTACGATCGTTTGCGCAACGCCAAGCATCCCAGTTGTCCGCATCGGCAAGGCTGCGGCACCTACGCACTGCTGGGCGGCCTGAAGCCCTTCGTGGGCGGTGTGGGACTGCAGGTGGGCCTAAAGCTGCTGTTGAACATAACCAAGATAGTCAAACTGAAGATGGACTGGCGCAAACAGATCTTCAACAAAGGCTCACTGCAGCTGGGCCTGGCCCTGGGCAGTTTCTCTCTGATATTTAAGGTAAGCTAGGGTTATTATTAATATTACTATTATTGTTATTTTATTATTATTCTATAATATTTTGTAGGCAATTTCTTGTGGGCTGCGCAATGTTTGTGGTCATGACAGCGCCAGCTTTGCCATACCCGCCGGCCTGCTGGGCTCCATTGGCCTGCTGCAGTTCCCTAACATCACCATTTCGTTGTATATTATGTGGAAAACACTGCAAGTGCTCTACAATTGGGGCACCGCGGAGGGGGTACTGCCCGAAATAACGCACTTCAATATGATATTATACTCAGTCTGCACAGCACTGCTGTTCCACTGCGCCATACTGGAGGCCAACTCTATTCGGAGTAGCTACTACAAGTTCCTGCTGACTATTTCGGGTACCAGGTAAAATGATATATACCTATAAAAACATATACATTTGAGCCTTGACTTTCATTCTACAGAAATGCGCGTTTCAATGTACGCCCCTTTGAAGCCTACGGATTGAAAAGCCAGAATCAGATTTTCGACACCATAAAGAGGCTAAAAATAGACATGACGTCACCGTTTCCCACTATGCCGCTAACCGTTTAATGGCAGCTCCAAATAATAATCTTAAGTAAACAAATATTAAAATTAAAATATATATATAAATGCTCGAAAAAGCTGCTATAATTTGAGAGCTTTATGCTTTATGAGAAGGCATAAAATGTTTGAAAAAATAAATTATTTAAAATTAAATGCTTGTGCCATGCAAAAAGTGGCCTTAAAGTCGGTGATCCATCCATCACATGGTAAACGAAGGACGCCGACGGACCACATCCTCATTCTCGGCATCCGGTTGGCCAAATGCAAATGGTAATGGGAGACAAAGGCGAAACGGAGCTCCAGCAGCCGCTCTAGACGTGGCGGCCTAGCCGGGCTACTCAATTATTTACATTTATATGTCATAGAAATTTATTGCCCGCCATAACTCACTCGGCTAGCCGAAAGTGCAGCGTTTAAAATTTACTAAAAATAAAATGAAACTGAAAATGTAAATGTAAATAAAATAAAATAAAATAAGGCAGCGCTGTCCTTGGCTCATGATTATCCTGCCTGGGTGCGTGCCAGGGGGGGACTTAACAAATGAATTATTGGCCGGGTCAAATTTAATGCGCCACTTCGTTATGTCTCCGGCCAGCCCAATTTAACCAGAGCCTGCCTTAAATTTGGCAGCGCCAGTCAGTCGTCAAATAAGGCAACAACGACGATGATGGCCTTGTTGCCTTTTGCATATTGGGATCAAAACCAGAAGGAAAAGCTACCTTCGCCCCGCCGAAGACTAAATACCCATCCAAATTCCGACCGATTATTTCGATAGTAGCCATATAATAAGGCCATATAATTCGGCTTCGCACACATATAAGGTGAATAGTTTTCCAATATTCCGTACAAAAACTCATATCTCGACAGAAGCTTCCTTTAGATCTAGATGATATAGAATAGATATACATATAATATAGATGATATAGAAGTAAGATTCTTATACTATTTTGTACCCAAAAAAGGATTTTGGTTAAGCTGAAAAATGCCAAATTTGCTCAAAAACAAAAAGCTTTCACATTTAACCGAAGGATAAGCTTACAGACGTATATTTCGTGATTAATTTAATATACAGTCTGCCAGAGTATATTATGAAACAAGAGGGTATGCCCGCCTAGAAAATAACCTTTGGAAAATGTATTCTTGAAGAACTTTGGTGTATGTTGTCCGATCTTTATAAAATTTTCAGGCTCCACCTCCGAAAATGTTTTCAATATTGAGGGAAACCGGTAAAAGTATATTAAAAGTTAGGAAAAATATCGACATAGGTTCTCAAATCGACGTTCATACAGACAGGCAGTAAACGGATAGAATAGTATGCTGACCAAGAATAATACACTTTATAGAAGCAATCTTACATTTTTTTTTTTTTTTTGCTTTATTTTAATTTTTCTGTTATTATAAGGAACAACTTAAATTAAATTTATATGAATATTTACAAACTACTTATTCTACTAGTAAGTCTAATATACAAATTTACAATGGTGACTGTATAAAACGATCTGGGAGATCGATTGGGTGAGACCTACGCAATCTCCGCCGCGTACAGACTCCTCTTATTATTTTTAGAAGACGCCTAGCCAGACGATTAGGATGGTATCCTAGTCGCGCTAAGTAATTTGCAGCCTGTTTATTTACACCGTCCCCGACTTTTGGCACTCCTATGTCTTTTTCCAAATCGGAAGTTTTCATAATCCAGGGGGCACCAGACAGATATCGGAGCGTTTTTGCTTGGAACGCCCTGAATTTTGTAAGACGGGTCTTTGCAGCAATGCCATATACCTGAATACCATAACGCCAGGCGGGAGCTATACAGGATTTATAAATGGTTACTTTACTTTTCAAAGACAACGCATTTTCCCTGTTCTTCAGAATTACAGAGACACTTGTGATGTGTTTGTTAAAATTCAAGCGCCTGTCTACGTGCACCCCTAATTATTGGTAGCAGTTGTGTTGCATTACCAATTGACCGCGCAAGAATACTCCCGGACACATATCCCTCCGTAGCGCATAGGTCACATTGGCTCATTTATTTAAGTTAATGCCAATATTCCTTATAGAAACGAAGATGTTTTCTTTAGCGTGTCACAGACATTTGCCAAAAACATTATACCCTTTTCTATTGAAAGGGGTATAAAATCTGCTTCCCAACATACTGTCCGAAACTGTAGCATACTTTTCAGGGCCTGTAAGTGCAGCCTCTTAGTATTTATGAAATTTATATACAGTTCTGTGGGGCAAGGCGCAACACAGATCCAAGTCAACAGCTTGGAAAATACAAATGAAGCAAGTGACAAATCTCATTAATCACAATGAAGATTTTATTTTGCAATGAAAGGAGATGAACATCGTCCACTGTTGTGCCTGTGTGTAAATGAGGGTGTGGAATTATCAGCTTAGCAGTTGCAATTGTTGTTGTTGTTTGTCTTGTTTTTCGCTTTGCCGTCGTCTCGTACGTCTTGACAAAAAAATGCATATAAATTGAATATTATAAATTGTCTCATTCCAAGTTCTGCTGCTCGTTCCACTTACTTACGAGCAGTGTTTAGTCCGTTGCTGCCCCTTCTTGTTGCAAAGTCGTAACTTCATTTATGTCAATCACAATGCTCTTCTTGCTAGTTCTTGCTGCTCTCGACCCAAATTGTAAACAAGTAAATTATGCAAATAAATTAGCTTGCGCTAGTTCGCCTGCCATGCACCATGCGGCATGGGATAGCTGCACCAATGAAAACGTAAATTATTATTATAGGTTGCGATATGGTAAACAATTAAAATATATCTATCAATACAAATATAAGTGTTTTTGACTAACAAATAGTTTTGCTTTTATACAAACGATTCAGGTAATTTGACCTTAAACAATATAATATAAAGCTAACAAAAACTAGAGTAATCGCCAAATTAATTGATTTTTAATTATATATTTTAATAATTATATTGTTTTTTATAGATTTTATTTTATATTTGGAAATTGCTGACACCTGACGAAAAATTAAATACAAATTGTTTTTAATTTAACTAGTTTAGTTTAACCCATTGTTTTCCTGTTTAAAGTATCACTCTAGTTACATCTTATAATATATATTTTCAGGATCTTTTTATTATCTAATCAGTATTTCTACACGCAAATGTAAAAGTACTCCAAATGCCCAAATTTCTATCAAGTTAATTTGCATAGACAGAAGTATCGATAAGAGTATATTGATGACAGGAACTACATCAACTAAACCTAAAACTAAACTTATGTTTTAAGCTATCCTTAGGTAAATACTCTTTAAACTTTAGACAAACTTAAGAAAACCGAAAGTAAACAACCTCAACTTTAAGCAAACTTCTGCGAATGGTATACAATTACCTTCACACCAAATTTTGTTGCCTTAGCTTTTATGGTTCCCCAGATTTCCACTTGCTGCCTATGAATAAAAGGATTGTCTCTTAAACAATGTGTATAGTTTAACAAAAGAATTCACTCAATTTCACCAACAGAATATATCAAACTTAAATTGTACATTTAATAACATTCTAAGATGAACTTTAATGGAAATGAAGTTTATGTTGTCAAATAAAAAAAAAAACTAAATAAAAGTAAATAACAACTAGGTCTGATGCATCGGCTGCATCTATGTTCTATGCAGGTTCTTTTGCCTGTTTTTGTGGACTTTCCTGTTGCAGTAAATTACATTGGATATTTTTACGAAGACAGCCCCAAATGACAAGGTATGTCAACGCAAGATAAGCACTAAGTGAAACGAAGGCAAAGGCAACTGATGTCGGTTGCTACCAGAAGAAGGGTGGGTCAGTCAGGGGGGAGGGGTCATCGTGTCCTTGTGTCATACAAAAGCTGATATAAATGGCATTTTCTTCATCGTTTTATTTTGTGTTTTTTTTTTTTTTTTTTTTTTTGACCAACCAGCGCTTGGCGTTGAGTATTTTTTAATTAAAAATTTCTTAGTCACTTTTTGTCGACTATTGAGATTTTACCATGTGATAAGAAAATTGAAATGCAATAGATAGAAGCCACCTCAGCCAAATACAAAATGGGAATAAGCATTATATATAATATAATATGAAATTACCAGAAGAACTACAATATACGCCGCATTAGCTTAACTTGGATGTGATTTTATCTCACATCCTAAGATGATATTCTGTGGTAAGTATTCAGTAAATTCTTTCATCGTTGTATGTACTATATGCGACAGAAAAAACAGATTTGCCTTACCTACACTTTGACTGATTTGTAATCAACCCACAACCCAATTCCACCGGTAAGTGTGGAAAATCGTGGAACACGGTTTTGTGAAAATTCATTGTTCACCAACCGATTTTCCTCGAATTCATTATACCCTGAACCCTGAAAACAGGATATCGATATCGATTTTTATCGATTGCTTGAAAACGGAGTAAGTTATCGATTATCGGAAACAAACTCGATCTGCGCAGGCTTTAGGAGCACCTACATCTTAAATTTCAAGTCTCTAGCTCTAGCTCTTATAGGTTCTGAGATCCTTGCGTTCATACATGCGGACAGACGGACAGACAGACAAGACGGACATGGCTTGATCGACTCGGCTATTGATGCTGATCAAGAATATATATACTTTATGGGGTTGGAGATGCTTCCTTCTGCCTGTTACATACATTTGGATTTTGCACAAATACAATATACCCTTATACCCATTTTTAATGGGTTCAGGTAAACGTAATTTCTACTGCGTAAAATAAGCATACAATTCCTCGATATCGAGGTCAAGAAAAGAGTTTGGGATAAAAAAAAACGTTACTGTGACACTTCGGGTCCATAGAAAAGTAGCTTGTCTCTTATTTAGGAAAACGTTTCGCCTAGAAATACATATGCGACACTTAAAATATAATATTTGTTAACTCCAGCTTGTTTTGGAAGTTAAAAAGGCGCTAACAATGCATATTGTTTTGTCCACTGCTAAATTATTTTGCGGTTCTCTTTTATATTAGGATGTCTGACGATGAAGATAACGATAGCGATAATTTAAAATGTTTGCAGGGAAACTTATGGCCAAAGGTTAAGCATACTTAGATAAGGAGCAGCACGATGGTATGCACCCAGATGATAATTTAAAGCACGTGCTATAAGTACTATCAACAGCCGAG